TGTAGGAGCTAAATGCATGGTAGGGAAGGTGGGTTCTGCTCTGAGAGAGGTAATGATCTGCTTTAGGACAGACAGAACTGGGATCCTACCTCTGAGCAAGCACATGGCTTTACAGTTCACCTTTAAAATTGAAACAATAAGGGTACTTGGAGAATAGCCTGTCAGTGGGTAGTTAATGTTGCAAATGGGTGTCACCCATGTCTCTGGACTACCTGCTAACCTTAAATCATCTTCACTCATAGGGAAGTATTATAGCAAAGCTGGATTTGGTCTTTTTAACCAGATGACAGTTTGAATTTATTATGTATTTTGAAGGTTAGTAATGTATCACAGTCATACACTGAAGGTGATACAATACTGTATTAAATTATTAATCAAATCTGCAAACCATCTACATTCATGAAGGCAAGTAATCTGCCAAGGAAGAAGTTATAAACAAAACGGAAATTCATTGCAATATCTTTGAAAAATGTGCTACAAGCACATATTTAGAAAAGCATCCTGAACACTTCCTCTAAATACAAACTTCCTAGATTAAAGATGTGTTGCATATATTAAGAGTAATAAAAGAGCAACTGATTATAAGGGATGTGAATTTAAACCCTGGTGAAAGACCATGGCCACCAGTTAGGCAATGAATGGAATGGAATATTGTACTAGACCTAGAAATTTGTTTTAGCCAGACTTATGACCTAGACCTCTTTGATCTTTTTCACCCTTTGGGTGACAAATTGTGACATCACTGTGGTTAATTTTACCCATAATTTTATGATCCAAGCATCAATTAGATTTTGGGTTTGAACCAATGGCTTAAATCACCACCAATTTAGAAACCGCATTTTAAAATATATTTATAAGGTCAAAACCATTAATTCCCTGTTTATTCTTTTTTATTAACTTGAAGTCATGTGATGATCATGTGTTTTATATTAAAAAAATCTACAATGATTGAAATAACAAAAGCTTAAAACACTGCTCCTGTTACCCCTTCTAAGCGGTTCCTTCAACTCGGATTACTCCAGTCTTTTATTCAACATTTCCATACAACAAAGAAAAACAAACTCCAAGCTGAGAGCCTCCTGGTTTATGCCAAAAGCAAGGCGTTTACAGTCTCAGGTCATGCTTGAAATACATACGCACTTTTTAGGTGGCTAAATGGCCTGAGTATCCTTTAGTTACCTGAAAAGGACAACTGTTAAGTAATGAACTCCCTCAAGTAGCTTCCTGTAAGTCTAACAGTGAATTACATGCTTTACTATGCTGGTCACTACTGCTCTTACTATGTGGCAGGGCTTGCTGGGCCAGATCAGGTTTCAGATAACTTCTGAGGGATGCAGCCTGATCATTAACAGTGGAGCTGCCAGGCAGGATGGTGTATCATTCAGGCATTCTCAATGCCTGCTACTTCTTGGCTTTTTTTTTGTTCAGATTCTGTAAATTCTAATGATATAAGAAATGCATTATTTGTGCTACTTAAAAACACCGGATAAGTGCTCCTCTGGTCATCAAGTGTGAAATGTCAGGTTTCCTGGGTGTCTTGCAGGTTTCCAGTTACCTCTTTGGAAAGGAAAGCTTTTGACTCCTGTAGAGGTAATCAGGAGTAAAGTGGTTTTGAATAATTTGGGTCTTCTACTGGTTTATTTTCATGTGCAAACCAAGTCAGCAGATGAGTATGAGAGGGCTGGAAACTAACTTTACAAGATAAGATACAAGATGAGGCAGAATTAGGCATCTGGAATTGAAAGAGTTACTCAAATTGCTTTGCAAATGTGAACTACAGTGATCTGTTTAATTATATGTTAATGTGCTGTGCTTTTCACTAGCCTCTGCCTCCTCTGCCTGTAATATCTAAACAAGTGAAACTCCTCATCATAGGAATTGTCAAAGGTAGAAGTAAAGGGATGAAGGAGGAGAAGGAGAATTTTCACACTCCAGGCAGCCAAATGCTGCTCTGGAAACTCTGCCACTGGCACAACCTTGTCTCAGGGGCTCCCTGCCTTATTATCGTACTTCCCAAGAGATGCACAACACATGCTTGACAGAGCAACAAGCTCCTGTGCTGGCTGCCTCTGAAGTCACTGCAAGCTCCTCCAGAATATATCAGCTGTGATATAACCTGAAAAATCAGTCCTGTGGCATTTGAAATCAAACATCTGAAATTATTGGGCATATTTGATCATCATTTCTCCTTTGTCTCCATCCCTTTTCTATTAAATCAAGTTAACACCACCCATTTTAGAAAGAAGTTAAAGATACAATCAATATTATTTGTAAAGATCTGGAATACCGAGTGTTTTACAAGAGACATCCATAGTATCTTGGCAACATCCAAGTTAATACATGTGTAGCAGGGCTATTATGTCATTAATAATATTCATACTTGCACATTGCATTAGGAAGAAAAAAGGACCTCTATAAGAGCTGCCTGTTCAATATGGATTGACTGGTCCAGGTACACGTCCAGTGTCTGAGGATGGAATTTACAGAGGTAACCTTCTTTGTAGGCATACCATGAGTTCTGGCTTTGACATGTTAATTCTGGTCTTGTACTGTATCCCCTCTTCCCATCACAGGCATGCATGTGGTGTCCAGTCATGGATATACATATGGACCCAAGAAGCTTGCAGATTTAAATTTCAGATCTTGAAAGAAAAAAAAATACCAATCATCCTCTGAAATTATATTGACCTATGGTCATTCCCAGTTTCCTCTCTCCCTCTGCAATTTTTCCCTCATCTTGTTCTTCTTGGTAGTTCTCATCACTTTCTTCTCCTTTTATGCTAATATTCCCATCCATCAGCCTGTCATTTTCCCCTTCTCTTCTTTGTTCCCTCCAACATAACTATTACTCCCTGTCTTCCTCTCTTCCTTTCCTTCCTTTATCTCCTCCCTCCACTTGTATTCATATTTCTTCATAGCTCTTGTATTCTTCCTGTGCACCAGAGACTGGCTATCAAAAGCACAGAAGAAGATTTCTCTTCCTTTCATATTGGCACTACAATGCCAATAACACTAATAAGAAATAATTGCATGGGGAAAGTTTGTCCACTTCCCCAAGTATTGGAGCATATTCACTGCAGGAAGAAAGCCTGGAGAACTGAATAACTCACTTTACCTTGTAATGCAATTAGCAATATACAGAGACTCATACTTCTCTCAGATTGGTGTGGGTAGTAGCAAAAAGAAAACAACAAGTTTTCCTTTCTCCAAAATTGAATCCTTAAATAAAAATCTGGGTTATGCTAAGGTTTCCTAATGAAAAACTTTGCTGACTATTAGCATAGGCAAAATTGTTCCCTTTCTTCTGTGAGTAAGGAACCTGTACTTTGGCTTTTCAGTTATTGCCTCTGACAGTTTGATACCAAAGACAGATACACTGATAAAGTTGGACTGTTTTGAAAAGATAGATAGAGAAAATACAAGGTCAGCTCATATTGTCTTCTTGATTTTGGACAGAACATCAGCATGTGTGTAAGTATGCATAACTTATATTGAATACCTACATATCCTAAGGCCTCTCCTAAAGGTAAGGATAATACGCTGTCTGACATTGGTGATTGCAGGGTGATTTCAGCAGAGAAATTCCGAAACTTAATGAGATAGGCAAGAACATTGAAGCATAGTACTGCAAAAGTTTAGAACGACAAATAACAAATCTAGGAGCATCAGAGATTAATATTCTTTAAGACCCACAGTTCTCTCTTCTCTCCAAATAATAAAACCTCACAAAATCTGACAAAGTTTTAGAAATATGAATACGGTAATAAAAAGAAACCAACCATTTGAAATATGTATTATTTAGAGAATATGCATCAAGGAATAAAACTAAACGAAACTCTATGGAAAGACTTTGATAAAGCAAGTAATTTTACATCATTAAGTACAGAAATGCCAATGCATAGGACAACATATATGCAAAAGTGAAAAATTACAATGCAAAACAATACATGCGAACAAAGATGCCGCAGAGAATGGAGCTACAAATCCAGCTTGAAATATAGTGTAAAACAGTATATGTCCACTGATCCCTGGTTTAAAATTTTCATCCAAAGTCTAGCTCAAAGGAGCTTGAGTTGCTGACTATCCTAGCATCCAATCCTTTCATTAAATCAATAGCAAAACTCCAGTAGACATTCGTAATGCAGAAAGAGTCCTCTTAAGAGTACTTTTAATACAAGCTCCTACAACAGTGTATCTCAAGTGCCCTGTACTCCTTTTGTTCCTGGCCCTTCAGTTTAACTCTTTCCTGTCTCCCTCTCTTTTCTTGGCTTTTTGGACTTTGGAGAAAGGGTTGTACTTGGATCCATCCTCTTGTGTGCTCCCAAACCTGCCTGAGTTTTTGAAAGTCTGTGAAGAAAATGTTATACAACATGTAAAGTGTTTTCTTTCAGCAACGAGGGAAAGGGTGGTTCCATCTGGCTTTGGTTTAACTACTTTTACAGTAGTTGACATGAGGTCTTCCTTCTAGGAAGGGAGTCATGATTAATATACTTGTTAATTACATATACTCTAGAAGGCAGAGAAATATGTTGTTGATTAATTCAAATACTTATTAAAAGCACAAGAGCATGGTTACTGTTGGTGTTTGAGCTAAGCTAATTGCTTTGTAAATTTCAGATGCCTTCCTTGTAGAAAGACATGATTCTGAAAATTAGAAAAACATTTAAATGAGCTGGCCTTGAACAGTCTGCCTAATGATCTGGAGATAGTTATCCGAACGCTACAGAGGGAGAACTAAACAAGCAAAACTCCTCATCATCGGAGAAGCAAAAGGATGAAGGAGGAGAAGGGGAATTTTCACACTCCGGGCAGGCAAATGCTGCCCTGGAAACTGCCACTGGCACAACCTTGTCTCAGGGGTTCCCTGCCTTATTATCCTGCTCAGCACGAGAACTTCCTCCTGGTCCTTTCTACTCTGGGTGCTTCCCAGAAGTGTCCCCCTGCTCTGCGCCTCAGCGACCGGCTCCCCATCTCCGACCCCAACCTGATAAAAATCTTTCCCTCCTGTTCACCACCAAAATCCGACGCGGGCACAAGCTGGCCAGGGCTTCCGGGCTTCTCCTCTTCCTGCGGTGCTCCTCTAGGTGGGGTAGGCGAGTTTTCCAGCGAGCGGAGCCCGCTCCGTCGCCCGCGGCTTGGCGAAACTTCCTAGCAGAGAGCAAGCGGGGAAGGAGAAGTTGTTGGGAAGCCCCTCCGAGCCTGCAGAGCCCAGGGCTTTGGTGCGTTTTGGGCTCCCTGGGTTGGAGCTGGGGACATTCATGACAAGCTCTGTGAGAAGAGGAGACGCGCGCTGGCTGTGCCCGAGCCTCGGCACCTGTGAGAGCCTGACCAAGTGGTTATCCCGTGCTCCGTACCTGCCAGAGGACCACTTCTCGGGGTTTCGGTGGTGGTGAACTCATCTGCACAAGGTAGGCTTACGTCGAGTAGATCTGCTGCCTCTTCTATGGTATGGGAGGCACTCTGTCATGGGGATGTCACTGCAGGCTGTGGCTGGTAATCATGTTCTTGGGTTTTGTTTGAGTGAGATCTACTGTTCAGTGAGTTTCTCTGTTCCCAGCATTGGGCTAAAAAAACTGCTTTTTTTCCTACGAAGGCTCAAAAGTAGCTACAGTTCCCGGTAACGTCTTTGCTTAAAATCTAAAGTTTCCTCACATTTGATGTGTTTTAGACTTTCTTATTATTAAAAGTACTGATGTTCTGATCAGTTCACACAGAGGATCCAGCGGGTTTTTTGTTTGACTGGGAGTACATATTTCTCCAGAGGACAGTGGAACTGCTGTTTTGGGTTTTGTGTTAACATTGCAGACTAATTTGCCTGTACATTTTAGGCTGTTACTCTACTTTTGAAATCACAACCAATGCTGTAAAATATCACAGCATCAGTAGTGTTGCAGCTGACTGAATATACATGTGAATACACGTTTGTAGCATGCCGATTTCAAGATTCCCTGCGTCCACAGTCTTGCTGTTAAAGGGTGTTGTGGCACTGAGATCCAGAGAGGAAAGTAGGCTGTTCCCCACAGCGAAGAGTGCCTGGGCTGCAGTGGCATCTCGTACCTGGTCTGAGCATGGTATGCTGTAGCTGTATGCGGTGCCAGAGCGGCTTTGAAATGCCCAGCCTAGCTACCTTTGAGGAAGTGGAGATCTCAGCTAAGGCTATAACAGTAAAGTGGCGTGTGTGAGCCTTGCATGACTATGAAAGACTGTTGTTGATACTGAGCTGGCTGGTTTTAGCTTCTTCTGCTTCCATGACTACAGCACTGATACCACATATTGGAAAAAAGTAAACCTAGACATTTGTACGCCTAAGAAAAAAAGTGTTTTCATTTTTACAGCTATTGGAGCTTTAGGTATTACATGAAGGGGCACTGGATAGCACTTTGGATCTGTCCCCGATGGGATAACAGGTGAAATCCTCATCCAGTGTACAGATTCAAGGAGCTTAGTGATCACCACCTCCTTGGGGTGCCACCCAAAACCTCTTTATATGCCTCAAGCTACAAGGAAAAATTTCACACCCACAGCTGCTCTTTGCTGGAAGAGACAAGGCCTATGGCTACTGCTGCCACTCATCTGCAGCAGAGGCAGGAAATAATGTTGTACACTGGAGTTTCAAGTGATAGGTCTTGAAATGTTTTGGATTGCTGGTGGAAAACTCTGGCACCCCTATGAGAAAAAACATGGGAAATGGTAAATTTTGAAAGGAAATTAATATGACTGTGCAACGTGGAGTCAAACCCCATGACTAGGATCAGGATTACTCAGTTCTTTGCTCTTCTTCATCAGAAATGCCTAGGATATAGAAAGTGGAAATAAAATTTAGGCATTCCCTATAGAAGAGTTAAACTGGTAGGAAATTAATTCTGAAATTAAATGAAGCAAGAGCAAATGCAGGAAATACCTTCAGCAGCCAGTTTGGCTTCACACCACTCAGTGGGAACAATTTCATCTTCAGGTAGGCTCCTATGAGCGCAGTTTCACTGCAGTTGTCTGACAAGGGTGAAACTGTGACCAAAGCTTGGACCAGTTCCTTTGGTTGGTAGGATACAATACAGTTGTGTTGCCATTTGCAGTAGTGTAGTCTGACAAAGATGCCAGATGAGAATGTGCCCAGAAAAAATGTACAGAATGTTTTTTTGGGGTTTGTTTGGGTTTTTTTGTTTGTTTGTTTGTTTTTTTTAGTAGGTAGCTTTTACAGAAAACTGCTGCCATAAGGAGGTATTTTTATTCTCTATTACAACTAGATGGAAAACATGTAAGGTTTAAGTTTTCACATCAGATTGTGAGATGGTGATTTTGAAGGGATTGTACTGAATTGTGTGCTGTGGGAATCATCTCACTGTAAATGCTGTACTGAATTCCTCTGAAAGTGGTTTCACATGAAACATTTCAACTTTATATATTAAGGGTGACATTTCCTAGAGGACTGTAATATTTTGTTAGAGACTATAATTTCTAATTGAACCCATAGAGCCATGCTAGATAAATGGCCGAAGTCTCAGTTTTCAAAAAATAGCACTATAAGCTTTTGAAGATAAGATTAGTATTAAGATAATGTTTTTCTCATGTTGTCATCAGTGGAGGAATTCCCCTCTAATATCCTCAACAGAGTTGTTTCCTTTAACCATGCTAGGATGGAACTGGGTTTCAGATCATTATCTATGCTGCTTCTCTTCTCAGCTAAAGAGTAGATAAATTGCAATGTGAGCTACTGCCTATAGCAGAGTAAGCATAGAGGTTACAGCATGACCACACCCTACATGAGTCATTTGTGATGAGCTGGGGGTAGATCAGCCTTTCTATTCACTCCTGTTAAAAGTATCTCATTTCTCCCTCTGGTTATTCTCTAATCCAGGCCTTTGCTGCCTTCTGATGCCCTCCTGACCCTCAGGACCCACTATAATTTTTATTATGCGTCTGGAAGATAGCAGATGCCCTTTTTCCCCAGCAGCAGCAATTCTTCTTGGGGAAATCCCTTCCATCCTAATACACATAAATGGTCCAGCCAGTGTGTCGTTAGGGCACGGAGTTGTCTGAAAAACCAGATACACTTTCTTGCCGTGTATATTCCAAGAAGGTGAGACCCTGTAAAAGATTAGATACTACTGACCAAAGATGGTATCATGACATTTATGACATGATAATATATCATTTATGACATGTATATGTATAATATGTATATTATGCATATTATAATATGTATGACATGATATACTGTTGTAATATGATTACATATTGTAACATGTATGACATATTATACATATACTTACATACATATACATGTTGGTCAGTATAAAGGTCACTGTGTGGATAAAGTGCTTGGCATACTTTTCCCATAAAACTAAGAACCTGGCTTCATACAGCAGAAGACTAGCACTTCTAAATGTTATTTGGGGTCCAAGTAACTTGTTGTTCTTTTGTTTGATTTATCACTCATACAATTCTGTAACACATAAATGGAGATCACAAGCCCATGAAGTCAATGGCAGAGCTCCCACAAGCGTGGTGTGCCCAGCTCTTGCTGGCTCTGTGGCAACTTTTAGTGACCAAACACTGCTTCCTGAACCATGTTAGCTTTGCATACATTTCTTCTGACTTGATGTATCTCAGATCTTTCAGTTTCTTCCCACCAGGGAAATCGAAACAAAACGAGAGGATGTTACTTTCAAATTCAGAAGAAGTCCGTCAGAAAAAAAGAATAAAAGATAAACAAAGACTATTTTAAAGCGTTATCTACTATTGTCTTTTGAAGATGTTAAAGTTTTGCCAGTGGATTTTCAAATTTCTGTGGAGAAGGGGGAGTCAGGGCCACATCCTCCTGATCTGGTGCGAGGGAGTGCTGATTTTGAACTGTCATAAGTGGCATTTTGTGAAGTTAATCCACAATGCTTGAGCTAAGTCACCCGCCATGAATCTAGCAATGGGTTTTACATTACCACATTACCATAACATCTGACCATCTGCAGTGCAAAATCAATAGCAAAGTCCCCGGTGGATTTCATAGAGTTTCTGGCATTTATTCTTTTTCAGACTCAATTCTGCAGAGCTGAGCTTTTTTTTTGGATTTGGCGCCATAAGTTCTGCTCATTTCCTTTATGGAAAGGGAGGGGGGCTGGTAGGATTTTATGTGGCAGAAGGGATTGCCAGAGCTGTGTCAGTTTTATAGCAGAAAGGCTTTTTCAGGAGGTTGATGTTGCCTTTTTCTCTGTCTCACAAGAAACATCCCCAGCAGTTGATGGTATCTCAGCTGACTCTTGCTTCACTTGCTGTGTACATGAGGCTATGAGGGCCTTGATGTCCAGCTATCCAGGGGCCTGCTTTGATTATAAACATGTGCAGGGTAAACTGTGTTTTGGGAATGTTATTTAGGTAGAGCAAATGGCTGCTGAGGAACTGGGGATTTAAAATGAGAGAATTTATAGTGCTTAGCTTGACTCAGCATCCTGAAATGCTGGTAGACCTGAGATCCTTTTGATCTTAAAGGCCAAGATCAACCTAGTGGCAAACCTGCAGCATCCAAACCTTCCCAACCAATCTTCAGTGCTTCCCTACTGAAGCCTGGCATAGAAAGATATATAAGCTTCAGTTTCTCGCTGGTTTTGCCTCTGCTGTGCAAGTCCTGATGGATGTACATCCCCTGCAGACCATGTTAATGAGCCTCTAGTTCACTAGGCTTTATGGCCAAGACATGGTGCTGTAAAACTTGGCTGAATCCAAGTCCAGCTCTTTGGTAAGAAGGAACCCTGGAAAAATTAACTTTTTTTCCCCACCTCCCCTGGAGGTTGTGTTGTATATGAAACTCTGTTAGACCAGCCTTTATGCTCTGTTCAGCAGTGTAACAAGCTGGGGACAAAAGCAGAAACATATGGCCAAGTACTGAGAAAGCTTTTACTTCTGACAGTGCATATATCTCTTCCTTCAGATATATCACGAAGAAAAACTGCTAAAGTGCCAGTTATGCTGCATACAATTATTTGCAGATTGAGTGTCAGGATTCTTTTCTTTTTAAACAAGAACCGTTTTTAATAGTTCAGGGTTAGATATCTACAGCTATCCAAGCTGGAAGGATGCATTCCTGTGACATGCTCCATTTTTCTCTCACAACTCTATACTCTTGCCACTGCTTGGGAGAAGGACCAGAGAGGGAAGGAGATAATAGCTTCAGAGAATCATAGAATGATTTGGGTCAGAAGGGACCTTAAAGCTCATCCAGTTCCAATCCCCCTGCCATGGTCAGGGACAATTTCCACTAGACCCAAGTTGGTCCAAGCCCCGTCCAACCTGCCCTTGAACACTTCTAAGGATGGGGAAGCCACAGCTTCTTTGGGCAACCTGCTCCAGTGCCTCACTGCCCTCACAGTAGACAATTTCTTCCTAATATCTAATCTAAATCTGTCATCTTTCAGTTTAAAGCTATTCCCCCTTGTCCTGTCACTACATGCTCTTATAAATGGTCCCTCTCCAGTTTTCTTGTAGACCCTCTTTTTAGGTACTGGAAGGCTGCTATAAGGCCTGTATACTAATAAGTTATAAATAGAGGCTTTGTAGAAATTGGCCCCTGTCACTGAAAAGAAGGAGAGAAAAAGGCCCTGTGCATCCAGATCACACATCTTGGAAGACAATAACTGGGACTGCAAAAATATGAGGAACAGATGAGATCAAGGGCTAAAAATGTCAGAATTTGTTAAAATACCTGTTGCTGTTTTATATCCTGCTATAGTCAGGAACTATGAAGCAGACCTCCTCAAACATGGGACTTAGATTTGCTACTTATAACAAAAAGGAGTTTGAAATTACCTAAAATTTCTCTTTCCTAAAGTTTTTGTTTTAGGAAACTTTCTTAAAGTTTAACTTCCTATCAGAGTCAATAAAATATTTGCAAAGCAACAGAGTGTAGTTGGTGCTGAGCACAGTTTAATACTCTCCCTGAAGGGCAGTTACAAAAAAAACTAATCGAGTCAACAAAAAAAGAAAAACCAACCCCCAAACACCAAGAAAAGGCTGAGGATGTGTCCTCTTTTTGTCACTTGAGATCTCACCATTTCTTGTCTTGGTAGGTAGCCGGTGACAGTGGGTCTTCCCAGCCAGTTGCATCTGTACATCCAAAAATAGCAGAGAAAGATCCGTGAGCTGCCACCTGGGGGGGGCGGGGGGGGGAAGCAATGCAGCACCACCTTCAGCTGGCCACCCCCTTTCTTTCCGAGTCTTTTCCACCTGCACAGCAGACATGGCTCAATTGCTCATGGACTTGCCTTCAAGCCATGGTTGTTTATGGTCTGCGCCAAGGCCGGCATGAAATCTGGCAGTGTGAAACTGGATTCACAAAGTGTTCAGTTGTGCCAGCTGCAGGAGGGCAGCAATTGCCAAGAGAAGGGCAGAGAACACAGCTCAGGGCAGCAACTATCTCAGCTGTCACCGTTTAATTCATCACCAAGTCTGAGTGTCAGCACCCTCCAAGAGAGACAAAAGCAGAACCCTGTATCCAAGCATTGCGGGGCGCAGATTTATTCCATTACATTCAAATGATTCCCCATGATGAGCCTTGTCTCTTTAGATTTTCCATAGAGAAAAAGCATGTGGTAACATACTGCCAGTTGGAGGGGTATAGTTTTGTGTGCATATGTAGATCTAGTTGGTTTCTTTGGGATGTAAAATTAAAATGAAGAAGCCATTGTTCTTCCCTTGCTCTCAATTTTCAAAAATTACCAGCTCTCATAACCACACCAAAACAGATAACAGATAGCACTGGCTAGCAACAAGGAAACCTAGATGCAAATACAGTACTGTATATGAAGAACATCTCTGATGTGGCAGGGTTATGTTTTCTATCATGGTTTCTAACTAGTTGTGAAAAACTAGCAGTTTGTGGTATTTAATTGCATGTGAAAGGTGCAAATGATTCAGCTGGTGACCAAATGACAAATTTACTAATAAATAAATAAATAAATGACCATACAGCGGATCGAACCACTTTCCACCGAAGTCAACAGGACACCTTCCAATAATGTCAGCAGCTAGCTGAATGGGACCTGCATGCCTATTCCTGATTTTTATCCAAGGTCCAGATGCACACAGGCTGCACTAACAAAAGAGAAGCAGAAGATGCTTGTCCATGAATGCTTTGCTGACTCAAGCAAGGAGCCACTGTTTTTTCACAAACATCAAAATTGTGCATCATGCAGGTTCCCTCAGAGTAGGCAGCAAGTCCAGCACATCAGCCACATGGCTCCCAAGCATCCCCTGTGCCCTTGCTCCCCACAACCTGGAGGTCTTCACAATGAACCAGGAGCCACAGATGAGCTGAACTGCAGGTTTTTGTCTGTAGCTGTGCGGTGCAGGTCTCCCAGAGCTTGTATAAGGTTGTTTTTAATTTAACTGAGGTGAAAGACTAAACAAACAAACATAATCTCTGCTGTGAATATCTCTGTACGGGGAAACACCAGGAGCACTTTGAGGAGGCAGTGAATGGTGCCCTTGGGGGTAAAGCACATGGGTGAGGCACGTCCACATGTAGATGAGACATCTGGCTGCAGTTTGATGAGTGTACATATTTTCCACTCTCTCCTGCCCACAATGTCACCTCTGCCTCAGCTTTTAAATGCCAGCCTTCTGAGCAGGAAAAGACACTAGAAACTAAAATCCCACCAGGTTCTCTTTCCACTGAGAGTGAATCTCTCCTTGTAGTGAATGGATATTGGATCCATCACCAGGAAAGAACAATAGAGGTCTGAACAGCTGGAAAGTTGAGGTCTGATGTCTTGGTTGAGTGAGACTACAATTGTATGCTTTCTTCCTGTAGAAATGGGTGCGTGCCAAATCTCCAGTGTAACACAGAGCACTTGCTTCTTATGCTGCAGAGCCCTAAGATATCAGGCCTTCTATGTAAAGCAACAGACAGACAAATGCACTCAAAATGACAAAATGATTTCAAATATTTACTCTCTTTGCTTCTACCTTCAGTGCTTGTACAGGCAGATCCATGGCATTGAGCACTGTCTTACCTTGTAAGGTAGAAGGATGTGGTTAAATGCTTGCTTTTTTTTTTCAGAAAATGAGTGTGCTGATGTGGTGCCAGTCAAATGCTGGCAGAAATTTGAGAGAGCATGTCTAGCTCACTCATTCGTTGATGCTCCACTCGTACGTGGTGTGCCCATCCCTTGCCTTTGTTGGTAAAATACCTCTTCTCTAGCCCTTCTCCCATACAACACTGAGTTTATGCCTTTAGAGAGCATCAGAACATCAACAGTTTTCCTCATCAGATGAGAAATCTACAAATTCAATTTTTCTTTGAAGTACTTAACACTCCTTTTGCGTTCAAGTAAAGCTGTCACTGAGTTCACTGAAGTTTGCCCATGCAAGAAGCGAAGGTTCTGTCCCCTTGGGAGTACGCAAGTCATTTTCTAGTAATTTGTCTGCTAAAGTGACAGATTTCCTTATTATAGCACTGAAAACAGGAACTTCACTGTCTTCTGACAGAAATGACTTTACATATTTTATGAAGCTGAGCCAAAGGCACTGCTCTTGTTAGCTGTAGTTGGTGGCTGTTAGGTTGGTCTGGACATGAGAATTATCTACTTCCCCTTCCTCTTTTTTGTTTTTGTTAATTAAGGCTTTATACCTGACTAAAATACACAGCTATATTTTTTCCTTCAGGTCATGTTATCGGAAGCTTTGAGTTGGGGGTGGGGGTAAAAAAGTTCACTTACTAAGTAAGATTAAAGCAATTAAAGGCTAAGGCTCGTATTTAATTTTCCCTCATAGATGCAATTTTTCATGCAGTGACAGCATCAAAACCTTTTCAAGTTTTATAGCTATTTCACATTTGGCAGAAACAACAGGAAACCATCTGTTGCAAAGCAGGATTATTGTAAGCATAATATTCAGTAATAAAAAAAGACTAAAAGAAAACAGTTATCTTTATGTTGTAGCTTTGAAGGTGCAAGGAGCAGGATGCTTGCATTCGCCCATCTATGCTAGCATCAGGAAAATTTTCTAGATGAGGCAACCACATAGAAAGTTGATTACTTCAGCAGAAGGAAGAAGTCCAATAGGAAATATGACTTTTGGTTTCTTCTTGTGATAGATAACTGTAAAGATGCTCGTGCAGAGGGGGCTCTATATGACTGTTTTCTGTACATTGTGACTTACATGGCAGAGCTTGTAAGTACCCACACAACTTCAAGTAGGAAAGTTGTCCTACAGAAGGCAAATAAGCTGCTCATGTTTTGAAGTTATAATTTCATGCTTGGAAGTCTTTTTTGGGCCAGGGAAATACAAATAAGCTGTGGGAATTCAGATGGCTCATACTGCTTTCTCTTCCCTAATGGCAAAGTGTGTTTGTTCTTTCTTTGGTGTGTTTTATGGGCTCTAAAGGAAACATCCAGACTGACAGCATACTCATTGGTTGAGAGTAAAAAATACCTTTCGCTGAAACTTAGTTTGTTAATGGGGGTGTCACATCCCAAGGCTGCAGTTTTAGGGGTGCTTATGGTAGCCACTGAATACCTCTGAAGACCATGATCAGTCCTGTAAAGTTGTTACAGTACTATAAGTATGCTTAAATTTCTGGTCATGTGAAAATCCTCATCGGTATGTCTGACAAAAGGAAAGAACCATTTTTTCAGGTGTGCTCTAAAATTTAGCCTGGTCTCTTCTCTCAAAATATGTTGAAATTTTGATGAGTGAATGAGAAGCAAATCAACCCATCTGTAATTTCTTTGTCACTGACAGTGTTTCACATATCAATAATCAGGCCTAGCTTTAAGATAGCATTTCACTGTGCCAAAGTCAAAATATGTCAGGGAACTGCAATATATGCTTGTTACTAATGTCTTAAATTATAGCTAGACACCCTGTTTTTCCAGTTTTCAAGACTAGTTATGAAGGCCTTTTTTTTTTTTCCAGTGCTGAGCTGATGAGACATTAAAGGTTTCTTTTTCAAATAGTTTGGCTGTTGGGTTGCTCCTTTCACTCACACCTGCCCCTTGACTTAGAAATCGTCTCCGCCTCTTCAGCATCAAACACTGAATTTACATAGGCACAAAGAGAGTGTGGAAGGCCAACAGCTCGCACCGTCATTAAGATGGGAATGCAAGAAGAACAAAGCAGCACAATGGTAAGAGAAATATCACAATACCCTACCTTTCTGCAAGGCTGACTAACCAGGGCTTTCCCACAGGAGGGAAAGGTGCTGAGGATACCGCAGGATTAGCAGATGCATGTAGGGCTGCTGGCAATGACTAAGCCGGTAACAGCAAGCGAATCGAAGTTCTAGACGTGAGTCAGGTTTTGAACTTGTTGTGGTTTGTAGCAGCTCAAAAGGCTTTGTACAGCATCACTGTATGAGTCTGTGACTGCAAAGTGATGGGCTTACAGCTGGTAGAGCCACTATCCGCTTTGGAAGGGAATGCTTGCTTCCAGCAAAATGTAGTTGAGCTCAACTCCATGCGTTGCTTGCCCACAGCACAGCCTGAGTTGTGCCTCTCACATTATTTTAATGCCTTTCCAAAGTACTCTGGCTTGTTTATTCAGTAAGTTCTTCCTAATTATATAAGCATCCCTGAAGAATTTCAGAGATGCACATTAAGAAGCATGGCAAAGTTATTTCTTAAAAAATAAGTGACAAAACCAAGAAAAAAGTGGTGGAATGATATATATGTTTACCACCTAAAACAAGTAATATTTTGTATGTATGCATGGCTTTTTCCTCTGGAATTCTAAAACATAAAAGCAAAGAAAATGAGAGGGAAGCATGGTGTCTGGGTTTGTTTTGTTCCTTCAGAATTTTCTGTTCATCCCTTTTAAAACAAACTTAGTGGAAAGACTTGAGCGGAAAGACTTGAGATGCTCCCTCAGTCCTGATGTCATGGGTGTTTTTGCTGTTTCTTTTAATAAGCTGATGATGATGTGCTTTTATTTGCTGTTGCTTGTGCCTGTGATGGAACTGCAAAAAACTTAACAGAAAAGGTACAATTGCTGCAGGAGCTGCCAAAACCGTATTAATTTAATCAAAATGAATGAAAGAGGCATTTGCTTTTCCCTTGCAAAGCCAAGTGCAAGATCTGAACAGCTCAGGCTCCACAGAAACACATACAGAAGCAAAGCTGCTATCATCTGTGGTATTTTCCTTATCATTACTGATGCTAGCTGGATTAATTTACCAAGCACTGCACACAGCCCATTGCTTAGCTTCATAGACATGTGCATTTTTTGCAGAACAGATGAAAATTCGTAATCAGTTCTGTTTAATTTCATCTGGAGTTTTCACCCTTTTTTGTATATACAGATGAAACACTCCTGTAATCACAGGAGAGCAATTAGTGATGGGTGTGTGGAAAACATGTAGAAGAGCAGGCAGTCTCTGAATCTTTGATTTCGGAGCACTCTGCGGTGAGAAGCAGATATCCTTTCTGTTAGATCATCTTTAGGGACTTAATCCCAAGGAGGAACTCGGATGCTTATCAGACCTGTCACTTCACACGCTCAATCTGAAATTTAGATCTTAAGAAACCTTGCTCGCCTGCCCCTTCACCCCGAGGTATCTACATACCTTAACACCCACGTTTGCATCCACTGAGTTCCTTGCATGCCTGAACGTGTGCTTCTGGACATGCTTTACCTGGCCTGGCCTGTGCTGGGTGAACAGACTAACAGGCCACGCGGAAGTCCTGCCAATGAGAATGGTTGCACTGTCATGTTTAGCCCATGCTTTGGGAACTCAGGTGGGAGATCTGGATTCGATGTGCTCCTCAGCCTGGGGAGACTTCAGCTGTTTCTCTCACAGCAGTGCCCTCAGTCCCAGCGCTTGTGCATTCTGGAAGAGGTGTCCATCTGTCTGTCCATTCCTCCTTTTTTTAACTGTTACATTTTCCTAGGCATAAGTCACTATTTGGAGAGCAAAGTCAAAATAACGCCACTGTATGGTGGCTAGGTCACTTGCCAGGGTGTATGGAGATACAGGGTCTGGAGAATACTCAATATAAGATATATGCTCTTTTTGTCAGAGTAAGAACTAGAGCCCGGTTTCTAAACCCTGCCCAGGTGGTGCCCAATCGCTAGTTTTGGAGTCATGTGTCTGAGTGAAAAACAGAAGAAAACTCTCATGCAAAGCAGAAAAGCATCAACAGGAGGGAGCCAAACAGTCTGCAAGGGAGCCCCAGTAGCCGTGCTGCCTGGCCAGGGACCCAGAGCTATTCCCTTTCCATGGAGCCCACTCAGCCTGCCCCCAGCCACTAGCAGGAGAAAGATTCTCAAAATGATGTTCAGACAAAGGAGGATGCTTTCTGCAGACAGGCATAGGTGTTCAGTCTTGCATCGCCCCATGGGTGGTGGGATTGTAAGTGTGCATGTATGGAGAAGTGGTAGGAGGGGTTCCATAGTCTGGATTGTGGGAGGAGCCTGGAGGACTCATCGGCAAAGCCTTGCCAGGTTCCTAACTCAACCTTGCCAGGGTCATGGCCAAGGCGTATCTGCAGGTTTTTGAGGATCTCTGTTTCAAGGCGTCTCATTCGCCCCAGTCTCTGGCTGTAGCAAGGATGCTGCCACCTCCTGTGTCTTCCACAGAGCACTGAGACCATCATGGCACTGCTTCTGTTGTGAATCTGGCCTAATCCCTGCTGAAGCAGGGAGCTTTCTTAGGAAAAGTGTTCTAGAGATTAGCGCAAACTGGTTTAAATCTGGAATGGCTATGAGGCAAGTAGCTCCAGGAGCACCAGAATGGTTGAAGATTGATTTCTGATGGTTCAGTGTCTTGTGGCTGATTCCCAGATCCAGTTGAAGCTCTCCTCACTGGGACATTTGCGAAGACCTTACTGCCTTGTGCATTTGTCAGTGGCTCACTGGCAGCCTCTTCCCATGGTGAGGTGCACCAGGGAAGTCTGCTGCCTCCCTCGGGCCAGGGTAAGGGACATCACCAGAAAACTCACTCCTCTGGTACAGCCCTACTACCCTTTATTAGTTTTCCAGATAATCAATGAGGAAATCTCTTCAAGAAGCCTGAGAGGACTCATGAAGGATTTCAGGGCCTTGGGGCGACTGGTTCAGGGTTCAGGACCCCAAGTAGTGTTCTTGTCCCTCCTGTCAGTCACAATTAATGATGACAGTTACATCAGAAAAATCTTATTAATTCGTGGCTCCGTGGCTCCTTGAGGAAGGCCAAGGAGAATCTCCATCCTCTACTGGATACAAAGCTGGTGAAGGTTCTGGAGCACAAGTGTGATGAGGAATGACTGAAGAAACTTGGGGGGTTTAGTCTGGAGAAGAGAAGGCTCAAGGAAGACCTTATTGCAGCCTTTCAGTACTTAAAAGGGGCCTATAAGAAAGACATGTAGAGACTTTTTAGCAGGGCCTGTTGCAACAGGATGAGGGGCAGTGGTTTTAAACTAAATGGTTGTGAACTAAGAGAGGGGAAAGTCATGATGGACAGGAGGAAAAAGTCCTTTACAATGAGGTTGGTACAATACTGGCACAGATTGCCCAGAGAGGCGGTGGATGCACCATTCTTGGAGACATTCAAGGTCAGGCTGGATGTGGTTCTGAGAAGCCTGGTCTAGTTGAAGACGTCCCTGCTCATTGCAGGAGGTTGGACTAGATGAGCTTTGAAGGTCCCTTCCAATCCAAACTATTATGTGATTGTGTGATTTCTCCCTGTGCTGTCCCTGTGGGAAGGACTGCTGGGGAGAGGAGCTAGGGAGTATGGGTAAGCTGGGGGGTGGGTGGGAAATTGCATCATGGCCACACAAGCACCATTTGCTTTGGAATCCACTTAAAAAAGCAGCCCCCCCTTGCAAATATCCAATAACCTGGTGGTTTTGGCACTCTCTTGAGAGAGAGGAGTTGGAAGTTCAGCTCCCTGTTCCAAACAAAACAGAGGGAGTATTTGGTGTTCCATTTACTTACAGTGTGTCATACTGCTCCACTAATAAACTGACCTGTGGAAACCTCTGAAACCCCTCTGAAACGTGCTAGCCATACACTGTATTCACCCTTTAGTGCTTACTAAGCAGAGTAGCAATGCTTTTTAATCTGTTCAAGAACAGCTATTCAGAGTGCAAGTAGAGAGCGCAGCAGAGATTTAGGAGTAAGATGTTGCAGGGGCCAACTTCAGTGAAGGAGTAATAGGTGGTATGAATGTGGTCATCTTAGGTTTTCATTTGCAGGCTTTTGAGTGGCATTGAAATAAGAACACTCGACAGGAACTATAATATTTTCTGAACAGCAAAGGCAGACTTCAAAAGTACACTTTTATTGTAGACTATTTGGGGTTTATGTAGGAGACTGCTAACTGTGGTAATACTCTTTTCTCTTAGTAGGCCTGATTTCAACTCTGATGCTGCTCCATGAATGGGGGCAGCATGAACTGCTCTTTATGTTCTGAAGACCAAAGTTATTCCCTTTTGGAGGAGTTTGTTTTATTAGGTACATAAATTAGGGAGAAACATTTTGTAGCTCCGTGTAGAGCTTTGGCTTCTTCCTACAAGAAGAATATATGTGCAGGAGATAAACAGGACCTCAGGGATTCAGGTGGGGAGCTTTAGATATAAAACAGTCTGAGTGAGGAAAATACAAAGAACTGGCTCTACACAAGCAGGGAAACTCAGTCATTGTTTCCTTAAGGGTTTAAAATTACATCACCTTGAGGTGCCAAGAGATGGGGTAGTCTTATAGCTATTTTTTTTTGTAACAGATTTTTATACCCAGCGTGTCATACCTGACAACAAAAAAGAAATGGTTTTAATTCACATATAATGTACGTGGGTTTGGGTCACTTTTCATTACAAGCGATGAACACAGGTTTCTAGTAACAAACAAAAATACTACCCTTTCTGTCTCAAAGCTGGTGGGTCAAGCTTTGGTGTAATTAAGCATAACATAAAAAAACCTCCTCTGTCAATACCATCATTTATCATGAAAGGACGAGCTTTCTGTAATGCATGGTTTGAATTAACCGTCACTTGAAGTTGAGATGCTGAATACACATCTGGCACCTAGGCACATACAGGTGTTTTTGGAGAAGTTTTAGAAAGCAAAGTCAAGTCAGCCAAAAACTGACTCCGAAAGCAACCTGAGCCCACATGTGAACACAAGCACTTGTTATCCATTGAAAGCTTTTTCCTC